GAAAAAAAGCACATTATGTATTTGTTGTTAAAGGTTCATGATTCTGGAGGCATTTTCTTCTGCTCTTACTAACCCTGGTTGACTTTTCAGCTCAGCTCTACTATATAATATACATATTTGTCTGATGGAATTAACCCAAAAACACAACCAAGCAGATTTGCAGACTATAATAATTATATCCTACACTTATATAGGTCTAAGAAAAGCATTTACTTCCTTCTTCAGGACTGTGCTGAAAGCTATGCCGAAGCATTTCCCACAACCAGACAACCAGACGGAATATCATTTAATAACATCACGGAGCCTTTATCATCATTAGGCTCCACACATCCTCAGACCATCTCCAGGGAAGCTCCTCCAGGGAGCCCTCAAACCTGCCTCCCGTTCCTCATGTTGCCAGGACAACAGACAGCGAGTTGCAGCACAGGACTCAGTTTCTCATAGCAACAGATTGGCTTCAGAACCCCGCTCCGACCAATCAGGAGCCAGGCGCTGGGAGAGAAATCCCTGTTGCTCCGTTCTAATCTGTAGGAGGAGACGGGGGTGGAGTCGCGTGTTGTGCGGTACACAAAGCATCCCTCAGAGTCGACTGCACGAGACGGCGACGCGTCATCCGCGGCCTGTTGTTGGAGAAAAAAACTATTTTATCAGGAACAGGAGATGAAGGATCTTCTCACACGTCCATCAGGCAGAATGCTCTCAGACACGACGCAGAGTCGAACCAGCTTTTGTTCTGCTTACAGTTTTTATTTCCATGAGCTTTAATGAAATCCACACAAACAGGCAAACTTTATTTTGAAATCAAGCCAAAGATTGTTTATGGCCCACTTCAGTGTTAATGATTACTAGATATTCATCTGTTATGAATATTTAAAGCCAACAGGTCATCAGATTTCTCCGTCTAGTGCGAGACGAGGGTTTTGTTTTTGGCCATGTGGTGGAATCTTGGGTGTAAAAGTCTGATTTTTAACTCTTTGTCTCTTGACTTTGCTATAAAATGTTGAAAATCACGAGGCAGACGCGAGAATTTGGGATATATTTGATCAACTTGTGCATTTGTGTTCACATATAATACCAAAAACGAATCACTGAAATGGGATTTAATAGAGGAAAGTGGATAAGATTTCCTTTAAGATGCTCTATGTATGCTATGTTTTCCTCAGTGCATAAATAATACCTGAGTAGACAAACCAGGGACGTCAGCTCCCTCTCATTGCTGCAGAATGTAAACCAACTTTACATTCTTTGGCTAATCTTTAAAATGACCAACATAAACTTCAGGCGTCTTTTTTTAATGTTTGTGTATTTTTTGTACTTTGAACAGACTAGAAGTGTTCCTATTCTGCTCCGTCCATGTCAAGCATTTCTATTGATCCGCATGAATATAAATGTATTTATATTTATCAAAGACAAAACCAGGGTGTGTTGCGAAACCCAGTGGTTGTGCACAGCCCGGGGTGCCTCCACTGACTGCGTCCTTTCACCCAGTAACTGTGGGGAGGAGCAGCTGACAGACAGTGTTTTCCACAAGTTCAAATGAGCCCACATAGCGTTCTGGATATTTTAATGTTGGCATCTACGATTAAAATATTGTCATCAAGCCGTATGAAACGAGTGGAAACTCAAAAGCAGAAGGAGGGTCGTTCACGACGCATCGGGGCCAAGTGTTGCAACACCATCTTCAGCAGCGATCTACAAATTCCATGCGTTTCATCAGAGCGAAAAATGTAAACCGGTTGACAAAAGCACAGCGAACGGCAGAATAAATATTTGTTTAAGGTTTAAATGAGACGTGACGAATTTCAGGAAAGGTCACGTTGTTTGTTTGCAGCCTTCTGTGTGAGTTTGGGTGGACCAGAAGTTAGGATTTGTGCTCCTGCATGAATGCAAAACAGCTCACGAGGCCTCATTTTGC